GCAACACTCACCGCGCGCTGGGGGCGCAGCGGGCTGCCAACGGCGCGCGGCCGCGAGTCAGAGGCGCGCGGGGAGTCGGGCGTGCTGAGCGTGCTGCCCGCGCGCGGCCGCAGGAGGCGCGAGCGCCCGGTCACCAGCCTGCAACACCAGAGCAAGTCTTCTCATCTCAACAACCAAACAACGACAACACAACACAACACACAATTTCTGACTCATTCAGACATCACCAGTATGGAGGAAGAAAAATATCCGGACAACCATGTTTACTACAACTTCCAAAGCTGCAATCATTAATAAACTCTAAATCTACATCATTATTTGGAAAAGGGGGGGATAAAAAACCTGACAGTAAAGATCAACCAAAACCACCTTCGCATATGCCGTTCCCTGTGATATTCGTGCACAATTTGCATAGCTGTTATCAATCTCCTGAAATTGCAACTGAAGCGTCGAGGATGAGAAAGACCGAAGGCACAAGGAGAAAATTGTCCAGGAGGGAGAAGGCAAAGCTTGCACGACGGCTCGGGGTGGCATCTGATGCGGCTGGGAAACTACGGTGCTTTTCGGAACTGATAAAACATTAAATTTAGAGTTCTTCATACGTATAATTAACCCATCAAGTTGTATATTTTCAACATTTGCAATTAGAAACTCATTCTCGCAACAGGATTCCGCGTTCTAGAAATTCGGAGTAAGATAAACCAGACTGCTACAAAGAGTAATTCGGCTTTAGAACATTTAAACTTATTTTACAGTATCACTCTTTTCACAATGATTGTACTGTACTTCTGGTTCTGCGGAGAGCAAGACGAGCGATGCTACACATCGTGCTAATTTAAGTGAAATTATTTATTGAAAGTGAACATAACACCAGACATCCAATTTTGAGAAATTACATTCTGATGATGTCTTCATGTACAATTTGAAAGCCATCAACAGGGGGAATATTATATGCAAAAGGACATTGGTAAACTATGGGCCAGCACATATAGTTGGAAAGAAGAAAAGACAGTCGCATTACAAGACACATTCATTCCATTATCAGTCTCGCGTCGAAATGGGAAGAGCAAGAGAACAAAAGGTTGTACGTTTCAAAGATTTCCCAAAAACAAAAAGAAAATCAGATATATCAAAATACTTGAAACTAAGAACATTCCTGGGGAGTTTTGTAAAGGATTTCGTATATTACTTTCTACGGATGTTCCTCTGCTTTCTAATTCGCAACTGCCTGCGGAGGTCATGCTTCGTGGGAATCTGAGTCTTCAAAGCTGACTACGAAACCGAAAGTTACAAGATTTCACAAAGAAGAAAAAACACATAATCAGAACCATCACGCGCCTAAATTGCTACTCTTCCGCCGATTGTGAAACTATTTCATCTATTTTCCACAAAGATCTTCCGATCCCTTGCTCTCTATTTTTTAGAAGCTAGTGAAGAAATCGCCACGCCACGTGCGAATCTACGTCTAGTCGAGTCGAGTCGCGTCGCGTCGAGGCCCGAGAGCCGACGGCGCCCGCTCATCTATTTCGCGGCGTTTATAGCTCGGTCTTCGGGCCCTCGTAAAGAAGCCGTTAGGGCGCGCCCATGCATTAATAAGGTCCTTTCTTGCGGTTTCTTTACAGACTCCCGCAGTTATTACTTCATCCCGGTTTATGTTCCCCGCAGCTCTAGCTTTCGCCGCGCGACAGTCTCGAGCGCCTTCGCTGCCCCCGCTCACCTGCGCGCTCGCCCACCCACGCAACGACCGGCCTGGGCTAAAGCTGTGCAGATCGTGCACGATCTGGATGGGCAATCGTTGGAGTGAACAATAACGTATTAATACCCCCTGTGCCCGCCTTCATTTCCGAAAGCGCGTTGGTTAGTTATGACAGGGATTCGCTACAACAATCTTTATTCTAAATGTGAAACTGCATAGAGACCCTTAGAAATACATCGAAGGCCTGCAAACTATCTTCACAATATTGACGGTTACATGAATAAATTTGAATGTAGTACACTTTTTTTTATACTTCTAAAATTGTACCAAACTAAGCAACGCCCTTAAAAGCACACACGCATCATCTGAATTTATTTTCGTATGACACCAAAAAGCCGAAGTACATGTACATTTTGGTACTGAAGTAATTCCCGTAATAAACTAGTCAGCATCCCTCATTCAAGAAAGACTCTCCCTACTTGTGCCGCTGGTGGTTTGTGACACGTGCCGAGCGCTAGGTGTGCGTCGGGGAGTGGAGGATCCCCACAGCATCTGCATTGTCTCCACGCGGGCTGCACCGTTGAATTATTTACGCGCCGCGCAGAGGCGCCTGCACACGGAATACGTAAGTCGCTACCCCGCCTAGACCACTCCGCGCTACACGTTCACCTACAAAAAGGCGAAAAAGGTGGCTGTACAGGCAACGCGATTGACTCGTCGACTACGAATCGTTGGGTCAATTTGGAGGACGAAGTGAACGCTCGCAGAGTAAAAGTCGTCGCAAAAGACCAGAGCTGCCGGGAAAACGATCCTCGAGAGTGCACACGTCGAGCGCTCGCCGATTTGGAAAAGCTTTGCGCCCACCGATCCTCTCGCCACGTCTCGGAACCGTCACGCGCGCACTGCGGTACCGCAAAACCGAGCTGCACCGAGCTCTTTACTGGTGGGCGAGCGGCACCACGACCCGGCAGAAGTTGCGACACAAGTGACCAGTGCCGGAGCTAGACAATTTTGGGCCGGGAGCAATGCTGAAACGTTACCCCACCCCCGCGAAAAAAAATTAAAAATGTGAAAGTTTTATCAAGAATTTGTAAGTTATTTTATTTCAAAAAATAACAAAAATTACGATTTACGATTACAAATTACGATTACAAATTACAATTAGAAATTACGATTACAAATTTTTGGGGGGAAATAATTAAATAATAGTTTTAAGTAAAATTATTCTAGAAAAAGTATTGTTTAACTTTCAGAATTGTCTGACATTTTTCATATCAAAGTTCTACCTTGACTAATTCACTATTTCAGATAATGACGATATCAGTTTCCTCGAATTCCAATTTCTTTTTCATTTTTTACTGATATTTTCTCATCAGTCCCATTATCGGGCCTCTTGACTTACGGGTCCAGAGCGATCGCCCGGTCTGCCCTTGTCTACCGCCGGCACTGCAAGTGGCACGTGGCAGAGTCGTTAATGCAGTACGGCAGATGTGGCACGTGCGACGGGCGCCACTCACAAACGGTGTTGTTTACAGTACATCCTCATAACAAATAACAACCCTAATTTAGTGTTCTGCCAGGGGCGCAAACCCTGCGGTTGCCATGGGCGATTGAATACCTAGGTACGCTTCTGACACACGGCATTCACAGAATGCAATGGTGCGATGGGCCAGCGCGAAACCTTCCAGTTCTTACAGGGACTTGGGATACCGCAAACATCTCAAACTCGTGCGATACTTTCCATGCAAAACGATGGATGGGACATCGGGGATCGGGGGCAACTAATATAGGAGATCGGGAACAGACAAGAACGAGCACTCGAAAAGGCTGAGTTCACTCCATGATCCACGTCCCACTCCATCACAGAGACATTGCGATTCTTCAAGCATTGTCGACAATAGAACCAATCAATTAATAACATTGCGGTAATACAGTAACATTAATCGAAACAACATTAATGTACGACAAATTGATTGTCACTACTTCCGAGACTTGGTCCTTATTCGACTCCTCTGTAATTTTCTAGCGAGAGAAAATAAGTATTTTTATTTAGAGAAGAAAAATGTAAATTATCATTAGAAAAAAACTGTTGTAATTCAAAATATAGTGTCCTTTTTAATGTATCTGGTAAAAGTGCTTGAATGTTAAATAAAATGCATTGTCATAGCAAGTTTCCAAACGATAATGGATTTACCAATACTCCAGGTCCCACAATACCGATGAATCGATAAGAAGGGACTTCTAGCGAACAGCAATCGACTGCAATCTCGTGACCAATAGCGGGTAAAGCCGATAATGTTTTTTGCACGTGTAGGTCGATTTGGAACAATATCCGAACTGTGGCGGCAGTGTGCGCACCACCACATTGCCACAAAGGATCCGCTCTTGATCCGCTAAACTCAGCGTATTAGCCAGCTCCGCTCTCACTTCAAGTTCGGGTTTGCGCATGCGCAGAGGATCGAAAGTGGCATTCGCAAAGGTGCTTCACGCTGTGCCAAAAGCAGCTATTTTGTTGGTCTCCACATGACGCAACGACAAGCGGCACCGCAGGTGGACGGATTTTGACCTAGTCGGCGCCACACCAGAAGCAATGACATAAGTACTGCGGGCGCATATAAGAAAGAACAATGTTTCATAGAAACCTCTTATTAGAGGTCGGCGTATTTTTTAGGTGCGAAACCCCACGCCATGTCGAGGTTGCAACACCTTAAAGAACTTCCGAATATTACTTCTATATTTTAGGTAAAATTAATCTCGGCAAAATTAGAGCAGCATCAGAGATTGGGCTAAGAACGCAACTGTGGCCGCGCCAACAGCACCCAGCCCAAATGCAGAATTATGCGACCCACGAACAAACCTTCCATTTTGGCGTCCGTTGCGCGAGGAAGCCACAGAGCAAAGACTTCACCATCGGACGCGGAGACCCGCTTCCAAATAGACATGAGAATGATTAAAATAATATGCCCGAACGCGTTCTTTAATGTTAGAATGAGAGTGGAATTTCCTCTGCCAGGGGGCCTGCACACGCCAGTGGAGCGAGTCCATATTCCATCCACTCGCGTCTTTTGCTTCTCGCACGGGATGAAGTGCAACTGCAGCAAGGGCCGTGCCGACGCCGCATCTGCAGCTCATCACAGCCCGGCGGCCTCCGGTCCGAAAGCCGTCTCCCCGAGCGTCGCAGCATCCCTTTCGCTTTCCCTCCCGACCCCGACCCCACGCGCCGCGCATGCGCCGAGGCGACGCCGGTCTCCGAGGCACTCTTTTCTATCGAATGCGCCCAGCGACAAGGCCGCACAAACCCGCAATTTTTAATCGCTTGTGGCGACAGCGACTTTGCCAACCACTGAATCTAAGAGTAGTAGTACCGAACATTTACATAAGCCCATCAATCAATTCCAGAGAAAAAAACAACTTGTTTGCAGCTGATTCATCTACGCTGCGT